GCTTGATTCCCTTATTGCGCTATGGTAGGAATTAAAAATTTTGAACCTGCGTCAATTAGATAATTTTATTATAGCCATCAAAATTATAATATACATATGTAATTTTAAATTTTAAAAAAATATTATTAAAGAAAAACAAAGAAAGAAGGAAGAAATACATTAAAAAAATACAATTGAAAAGAATGTAAGATATATATATATATTAAACAAAATAAATAATCAAACTCTTACAATGATATCTTAATTGAGTTTTCAAGTCATATAAGAATATAAACAAAACAAAGAGAATATTTAGGATTTGAGATATGGTGGAGGAGGATGTGAGAATGGTTATTTATAGTAAAATAAGTGATGGAAGTTACATTTCTAAACTAATTAGATTATAGGAGTTACAATTTTAATTATAGTGTGTTTAAATGATAATGAATAGAGAAAAAAATAGTCAATTTACAATTATGTAATTTCAGTTACAATTGAGTAGTAAAGTGTAGATTTAAAGTTGGATTAATGTATATGATTAAATATGTTATATTTTAAATTTAATTGAAAATAAATATTATAATTTTAAAAATGCCAAGTGGACCAATCAAGAGAGAGTGAAACCCTACTTTTATATGTATGATTAGGTAGGAGTTACACTTGGATTAAATGTGGAGTTATATAGTGCAATGAAATTTTTTTTTATATAATTATTGGGTAGGAGTTACATTTGGATTAAATGTGGAGTTTATACATGACTTTGAATATGAGTTAATTAGAATTTAGAAATAAATATTATAATTTTGTGTTGTTTTGCTTATGCGTGGCTTGTTGCATATTTTCATTCTTAAACATGTAAAATTATTATGCGTATATTAACATTTTTAGATATGGTAGAGGAAAATTAGAAAATGTTTATTTATACAATGATGAATGGTGGAAGTTACATTTGCAAAATAAATGCATTTAATGAGTTATAAAGTTTATAAAATTAGTAGGAAAACTATTCAAATTAGTAGAATGGGTACAAATTTATTAAAAATATTACAAAAATATATTTGAGATAAGAAAGAAGTAGTTTTAGAAGAAGAAAAAACCACAAATCTTGAATAAAATAAAAATTATAATGATCATTATAAATATATTGGATCACAGAAACTAAATGTAATGATGAGTATATTAAAATGCTGCCAAAAATTATTTGAGATAAGAAAAAAGAAATTTAAGAAATAAAGAAATTAAAACACACAAAAATTAAATAATAATAAATATAATAATAATATTTTATATAATTGTCTATTGGATTAACAAACTAAACATAATGATGGTGAGTAAATTAAAACATATTACAAAACAATTATTGAGATAAAAAACAAAAAAGTACAAAAATTGAATAAAATAAATATAATAATAATATTTTATATAATTGTCTATTAGATTAACAAACTTAACATAATGGTGATGAGTATATTAAAAATATAAGAAAACAATTATTGAGACCAAAAAAAAAAGTAGGTACAATTTCTTTGATAAATGTATTACAATAATTATTTCAGTTTAAAGATACATGAATATGTAAAAAAATAACTAAATGTCTAACGTAGATATTGGAGATGGATTTTTTCAACTTGTTCTCCTTGTTGTGCTATTGATTGAATTGCTCTTTTTGAATCTCCATCGATAAATATGAATTTTTTGTTATAACCATCAAAAATTTATTATTCATAATTATTTTGAATTAAAAATATGAAAATTAAAGAATATTCTAGTAACACATTAGAATTAAAATAAAATTGGAAAAAAATGTAAAATACATACCATATCAAGACATAAAAATTTAGAAGCAAACTATTATAATGATGTCTCAATTGATTTTTCAACCAATGCAACAACAAAAGATTGAAAGAAAAAAAGTCGAAAAATACTTATGAATTGAGATATGCTAGATGAGGATGAGAGAATGATTATTTATAGGATGAAATGATGGAAGTTACATTTAGAAAATAATTAAATTAGGGGGTTACAATTAAAATTAATAGTGTTGTTGAATGACATTGAGTGGAGACAAATATTTAATACATAATGTATATAATTTCAGTTATAATTATAATTTCAGTTACAATTTAGTACTTAAAAGAAGATTAATGTGTATGATTAAATATGTTGTATTTATACTTTAATTGGAGATAAATATTATTATTTTTAATTTTTGTTTTTAAAATAATTGCCAAGTGGACCAATCATGGGAGAGTGAAACCCTATTTTTATATGTATGATTCTTCTAAACATTTTTTTAATATAATAAGAGCCCAATTTTTTTCCACACGGCCTATCATATGTTTGAGCCGTCGCTCCCAACAATAATTCTCTTATTGGATTGGGCAAACATGATGAATAAAAAACCAACAAACACTACAAGAAATGTAGAGTTGTCCTACGGCCTAAATCGTAGGAGATTGGTAGGAAATAGACGTTTCCTACCAATTTCCTCCGAAAAACGTTTGTAGGGAATCGTCTGTAGGAAATTTTGTAGGAAATTTGTAGGGTCTTTTTCACCATGGAAATTGAGTCCTTCAACTTTCCTACGAAATATTTCTCACCAACTACCTACCAAACTTATCTTACCAATTTCCTTCGATAGCCTCCTACCAAAGTCCTACCATTATCCTTCGTAATTTCAGAGAAAAATTTAATAAAATTAATTATATTTCTTTGATACAATTTTTGATTTTTTGAATAAAAATAAATTTAAAATTCAAAAGAAACATGTTGCTTCATACCAATTGAACTCCATACCAATTAAAATTCATTGTACAAGCCATTGTAATATATATAAATATTTATATCCTAATCGATCTACTCTTGAGTCACGTCGTCTTCGTCGTCTCATTCTGGACTGTCGGATAACCCGGTGGTTGAATTTGTGAAAATTGTTGGAGGAGAAGCTTGTTGCATTCCATAAGATAAGCGAGTTTACGATCCTTCTCAAGGTCCTTGTGTGTTTGAATCTCTTCAAGTAACTTCGAGGTGTGGCGTGGAGCTATGGAAGATGACAAGTATCCGTCATCAAACAATCTACTGAACCCCTAGCGCTTTCCTTTCACTATGGGAACTTGCTGAAAATAAAAAGCAAAGCATAATTAGTGGCTTCATCTAGTATAAGAACACAAGAACACCATAAACAAAATGGAAACATTAACATAATTTAACTTACTTCTAGCATGACAGTGTTAATCTCCTCTTCCGTATAAGCGTTTGACTGAACCGAGTCATCTCCTTCAGCTTGGCGTTGCAAAATGGTCAGCTCTAACTTACTCTTAACTCCATCAAGAATCTGTTTTGTCTTCAAATCGCTAATTGTACGCGTCTTCATATTTAAATGAGTTTCTTCCATGAAGTGAATCATATTAGGCTCCTTCCCGATTTCCTTAGTCTAATATCCAGTGCCAGAAAAGCAAGAACTCCAGAAGTCAGAAACTAGTAAAGTGATTAAAAACATGTTGAAAATAAATAGACTTGAATCTATATACTCGAAAAAACAGACATGAAACAAAAACAGACTTGAAAAAACAAGACAGTTTGGAAGTACAGAAGATATATAAATAAACACGACTCTAGTATACTCAACATATTGCGAGTATAGAAGATAGATACTAACATGTTTAAACAATAAGAGACATGCTCAAAAGCTAAAACGAAACTGTCAATTTGATCTATAACTTGCATCTGAAACTAAAGAAGTCTCTTACAACTGAAAGTTACTAGTCACAATTGGGACTGAATTCCTGCGAGGGTCATGAATTCGGTGAGGCAAATATCTCCTTGTCCATCCATACCCGAAAACGATGCAAAATAAAAAATCTTTTGGATTTTATTTTTAAAAAACAAATTTGTGTTTTTTTCTCAGAAATTTTTTACGTTTTTTTTAAAAAACTTTTTCTCTTGTAAAACGTTTTTCTCTTGTAAGATAATGTTTTTCTTTTTTTGTCCTGTTAACGAATGTGAAATGCGTTTATACTTTATATATAGAGGAATTTTTTTTTATTTTCTACAGTTTTCTTACAAATTTTCTACCAAAATATATACGATTACACCAATCTAATCAACACTTTATTTACCTACTTGTTACACCACCTACCGAAGTACAAACATGTTAAAAAAAATCCCTACGTTGATCCTACGATTTTCCTACCAATTATTTCCCCAAAACTGTCCTTCGTATATTTCCTACGTAGGAAATTTGAAGGAAATTTGAAGGAAATTTACCTTCGAATTTCCTACTAATTCTTTCCTATGGTTTTCCTTCCACTTTCTATCGAAATTTTCTACGACATATTGTTTCGTAGAATTTTCGTAGGATATTTCGTAGTATATTTCCTACGAAGTTCTTACGAATTTTGTCAGAGGAAATTTCATTCGAATTTTCTACGAAATGTATATTTCGTAACAATTGTGTCGGAATTTGGTAGGATAAAATTTATTCCAAATATTTGATAGGAAATTTGGTAGGAAAACCCTATGTTTTCTTGTAGTATAAAGAGCCAAAAATTTATGTTAATCATCGTATGAAAAAAGATATTTTAGATATTTTTTATAGATGAACCAAAATCTGAAAAAAAAAAAGAAGAAGCAAGAAGAATAAAATACGATAAAAATTTGAATTCTTGGGCCAAATATTAAAAATTTATCATGGAAAATCAGCATACAGGAAAAAGTCAAATTGTAATAGTGTTCATGAAGTGAGAATGTTATTTTATGTACAACTAATTTGCAAACTTTATTGTAAAGGTTGCCACCAGTAGAATCCCTAGTCTGAGGACACATATGAAGCATATACTCTGCCAAATGACAAAAGAGAACATTTTGAAAAGTATAATTTGAAAAATTAAAATTTTTTGTTTGCATAAAAACGTATAAACTAAACATGTTTATTTTCATTATTATAACATCCAAGTTGGAGTTAGAATTTTTTGAGAATGACAAGAAAATTTGGTTCAAGAATATGATATTAAAAGAAAAGCTCTCAAATTGAACCTTTATTGGAATCGAAAACACAAGATATATACAAAGTTTTAGTAAACAATACAAATTAAAGTTTTACGGACTCTATAACTTTAGAGGTAGAGGCCACTTTTACGTCCATGGAAGAGGAACTTAGATAAATACGCTGAGCGAAGTGTGTCAAACCAAAGCTGAAAATGCAACACCACAAATGCGAGAGCCGTGACAGAAGCCAGGCAAAATAAGAGGATTAAGCTCCATTCAGGTTCTTGATCACGGATCAAGATCATTGTCGCTGTGAAGGCAAGAACCATAGAAATAATTGAAACAAACAATGCTAAAAGTCCCAACATTAGCCTCGTTGGTAAGGTCGTCTGGAAACTAGCTTCTGCATAACGAGATGTCAGGATTGACAAAAATATCATAATAGCTGTCACAGATGATAGGAGGGCAACCGAATCTGATAAGATAAACACATCGAACCAGAACTCCTTTCTAAAAGTAGGGAAGCCTAGTGTTTTTATGTTGTCACCCGTATCGTTTCCACCAGGTAGAGTAAAGGCAGCTGCAAAGACCACAGTTGCTATTAGTGTTGCTACAAGCATGCATGCAGTCGCAGTTTCTTTCATCCATTTCTCTCCTTCTCTGCGTAAGTTGTCATGCTCTATCGTAAATAGATCATGCGCCACCTGATCATCAATGTTTTTGGTTTTGTTGTATGCACGAGGAACTATCTCTTTGACAGCCTGGAAAGTGATAAGAAGTTTTGTAAGGATATATACAAGATATTAAATTATACCCATTGTAGAATGTGTTTAGTACCTTGTACCAAAGAATCTCTCTTTGCATCTGAAGTGCTGCTCCTGATACAACTTGTAGCCTCTTTGGAGGTGGTAAACGTGCCACAAGATGCAACAAGTTGTTTTTGGATTCTTTTTCTTTATACATTGCTATCAAATCTTTGATGGCCCCGAGTTCATAGATTATATTAAAGATTTTTTCATGACGATTTATAGCAGCAATGTGGAACAAGCTTCGGTTCTTAAGATCCACCTTCCATATCAGATCTGGATAAGAACGAATAAGAATAAGTAAAAGCTCAAGATTTCCCGATTGTGCGGCATCAAAGAGTAGCATTGGAGATGATCCCACAAAATGCGAAATTTCCTCCACTGGCAATTTTATAACAAAACTCCATAGCTCCTCTACCACCATATGAGCTAAGGTCCGCATTTTGGCTTCACGAAAGACCCCTTTAAAAACTAAATGGAAAGAGTTCATGTCAGGTGTGCTGTTCAACAAAGATTTGAACAGAAAAAAGCAATATGTTGTATGATTCTCAAACTATATATATATGTTCACTTAGAGAAGTTGTTCCCATTATCATTTTTTTTTTTTGATAACTCATGTGATCCTAAAGGCTTTCTAGGCCCAAACACTAATCCTGGGGTCGTGGGAAACAATGTTAGAATTCAAACCCCGGTGGCCAATGCTAATCGAACTCAGGTGGCAGAGACTTTTCTCTCATTTACCACTGAACCAAGGCGACTTGGTTCACTACTTATTTTCAGGCTATTCGAGAATGAGTTTTGGGTGATGATTAACTAAAAGGTGTACTTGTGAGAAACTCTTTACCACATGACCTGCTCACCCGAAGGTTAATTGGATGTTGTAGCCAGAGTGATACCTAATGGTAAGACTTAAAAAAAAAAAAAAAAAAGTGTGATTTTGCCCACTTACTAGAATTTGCAAATTTCTGAAACAAGTTTAGCTGTTTTCTACGGCCAACTGCAGAAGGCTTGCGAGCCATCAAGTGCAAGGCTGTCTCTTTGTTACTATTTTTCCAAAGGGCTAGTACTTTTTTTCTTTCCTCGTTCTCTAACATCTGCAGAGCTACATCTGTGAATAGACCTCACTGAGAACATGGACAAACTCGGAAGAAATGAAAAAAAAGAAAGAAGGGAATGCTAAATTTAAGAGGATGATTATATATTTACCATAGATATCAGCTGATATCACGGCATGAAAGAGATTTAAAAACTCATCATCATTGAATTCCTTAAAGCGTGTATTCTTGTAAAGGTATTTAACCATTTCTCCATGACCGAATAAGGCTGCCATGTGGATTGGAGTCGTTTCTCCACCTCCGCGAATCATCGGAAGATCTTCATTCTTATCGATCAACATTTTAGCAATCTCAACGACTCCCGATGCAGCAGCAAAACATAAGGCTGTGTTGCCGTCCACGTTTTGCAAGGCCAAGTCATGGGAGTCCAAACTTCCAAGTAGATTTCTTACAAACACCTCGTGCTTTGCAGCAACAGCGATGTGAAGAACAGTCTCCGATTTACTGGTAATTCGTTGATAGATAATATCTTTATGTTCAATGATTATACCATTGGCTGCCTTCCAATCTCCTTTCAGAGCAGCTTGATAGAGTTGGACACCTTTGGCTCGTAATCCATCTATAGAGAAGAAAAAACCATTGAGAGAAGACAAGATATCAAAAGAAAAAAGTTGAATCAATCAAGAGAGGTTATATCAAGTATTGCATACCAACACTGTGCAGTGAACTATGATCTGTATTAGGAGGTGACCTACTTGTCTCTCCAACTTCCACTATTATATCTCCGTTCAGAGGCTCTTTGGATTTGTTCTTGTTATCCAGAATTGTAGATTGAGATCCAGTTGTTGCAGCTTCACACTGATTGCTACTCTTCAGATTGTTCATCTTTCTTGAAACGTGACTTTCTAAAGTTATATAAACACAATACATTATGTTATAGTTTATACTGAAAAGGTTATGAAACCCTAGGACTCTAACCATACCTTCAATATGTTTCTCGTTGGGCAACACAATGGACAGCTTACACAGAAGATCTGGTCGATGCCGGTCAATGGTGGTGCAATCGCACGCCATTTATGCAACTCGGATGAAAAAAATAAGTGAGCACGCAAGATGATGGAAAGCTCCTAAATTAGTTTCTTATCACAAACTGATTAAAACAAATTATATGATGGATTGACTTCCCCTTGTATTTTTCTATAAAAACAAAAAGATATGACAAGTAGGGAAGTAGTTTTTTTCAAAAAAAAGTAGGGAAGTAGTTGACCTTGCTCATTTATCCAACTCTAAAGTCTAAAGTATAGAGGCTTGAGCCTGACATTTCCATGTTACGAATTTTTTTAACTTAAATTAAATTACGTGTGATTTGAATGAATAAGTTACATTAAAAATAAAGAACATTGATTTGAGAAATTAATTAGCTAGCGTAAAGGGTTGGAAGGCCATCTCCGTTAGGGGTATCTCAATGAGATAGTACCCTACTAAAATAACGAAAAAATTAAAAAATATGAAAGAAAAAAAAAGAAAGAGGAGTTTTCATTTAAGAACCGTTTGTATACTAACTCGAACTCATCTCTACATTTGTCTCCTACTAATTAGTTCATTTTTAATTTAAAATATAAAATAAAATATATAATTATATTATACTAAATACTAATATTTTTATGTGAAGATATCCATTTGGGTCTATAAACCAATAGAGATGCTCTAAATAACTAAAATATAGTGCATGACTATATGTGAGGAAGCATGTCAAAAGAGGAAAAAAAAAGAGATTAAATATTTTTTTTTTCCTTATAACTTTTTCTTTTTAAAATTTATTATATTCTTTTACATTTTCTTGCAACATATATGTTTAGAAAAATGATTTGAAATCCCAAAATTCTACATCAAACATAATATAAATATCTGAAATCAGATACATATTTTTAAAAATAGTGAATAGTGTTTGTCACACTAAACACATAAAAAATTTATGATATTGAATAAAATGAAATAGTATAGAATGAAGTGTTGTGGCAATGATGACATTGACGATGAAGAAGGCATTGGTGTTTCTTTTCTTCGTAGCTTGGTGGTGGTGGTGGTGGGTATACTCAGGATCGATCCAACATTATTATTGGCCTTATGACAAAAACAGTTTTGGACCCTATAAATTATTATTACTTTTTTTTTGTGGAGATATTTTTTTTCTTATAGATATTTTGTTATGAAATTGTTTTGTGTGTTTATTTTGATAAAATAAATTATTTATAAAAAGAAAAATTACATATAATTTTTTTCTTGTCATTTTAATATTATATTTAGTTTACGATCTAATTTATTTATTTATTTTTTAAATAGACCCCTTAATTATTAAGACACGGGAGGGAGTTCCTGGCACTGCTCGTCCTTCCTCATGAGCCGGCACTGATTCTACTTGGAAAAGAGTAGGACGGATGGTGGATCCACTTGGAAAATGAGAAAAGTTATATTAAATATAGATTATACATATAATAACTCATATATTTTTTTTGTTCATTGATTTAGTTCTTAGTTTTTCGTTGATTAATTATTTAAATTTCCTTTAAATTTCTGTTAAAACAGAAAAGTAGAAAAATTTGAGGTTATTTTCTTGTTACTCAATTTGTTACGCTTCAGTTTAAAAATACATGTGGCCATTTGAACAGAATCCTACTGACTTTTTTTTTTTATAAAGCAAATTTTATTATTTATATATCCAACAAAAATCTAACAAGAACAATTAACAGTCTTAAGTTCCTAGCAGATTAGTCCAACAAAAACTATTTTTTATTTTTCAAATGTCAAATTTATTTATAGTGGTGGTGATGGTGGGTCTAGTTGGAAAAGATGAAGGAAGATGGTGGATCCACTTGGAATAGGAGCAAAATTGTATTAAACATAGATTATACACACAATATCACACGCTATTTGTTACCGGTCATTGATGTAATTATTAAAATTCTGTTGGTCATATATACAAATTTGCCTTAAGTTAAATAAACAAATAAATTTGACGTTATTTTACTCAAGTTGTATCGTTTCGATTCAAAAATATTGGTGGTCATTTGAACGAAACCATATTGATATTTTTTTATAAACCATTTGTTTTTATTTATATATCCCAATACTAAATAAACCAAACAAGATCAAATAAGAGTGTTAAGTTCCAAACAAATTAGTCTAACCAAAACAGATTTTTCCGAAATATCAAATTTATTAATAAACAAAATTAATTATTTACAAAGAAACTAAAACTGGAAAAAGAAGAATAGAAGGAGGAACAATAAACTTTGGTAAGAAAAACTAGGAAAATCAGAGAGAAGAGTTGAGAAGCAAATGGTAATAGGCAGGTTTCAGTTTGTGTGAACCATGTGTATCGATGCGAGGAGATGTGGTTTCTAGCTACTTTGTCAATAATGTGTGTAAGGTAAAGAAGCCAACTATATTAATGGCGTCGAGCATTCCTCTACTTCCAAAGGTGATATATAGTCGTTTGAAAAACCCAACCTTGTAAGGAAAACGAGCGGACACTTTTCAGTATGCATACTTTCTCTTGAATGCATATTTTTCAGTATTTCAGTATTTTAGCCTAATGAGAGACACTTAAGTCATCCATATGTGTCTTATTATAATTGAAAAGTATGCATTCAAGAGATTTTGTATACAAATGGGAGATACTTATGACTTGGCTTATTATTATTATTATTATTATTATTATTACTAGGACTCAGGACCCCCGCGATAACGCGGGGGAATATATTTCAAAAATCATTTTAAAAAATATCAAACGAAAAAATTATAATGAATTGTAATAATTTTGAATTTTTTTAATAACAAATCAATATATATTTTACAAAAATTATGATAAAGAAAACCCTCACTAGCATTTATTAAGTATATTAATATTAGAAAAACAATAATTTGTAACTAAAAACCTATTCCCAAGTGCAAAAAGCATAAACTAATAAACCAAATATTACAATGGTTTGATAAATAAGCCAAAACGTTCAACGTCAAATAAACCAAATGCTATTGTGTTAAATTAAACGGTAACAACAATTCATTTAAATATATTTTAGTATTTAAATATATTTTTAAAAATATGACGAACTTATCCGCGAAACGCAACCGTAGATATCAAATATTCCAAAAACTGCAACGGTTCGTCAATTATACCAAATGTTGCAATAGTTCATCAAATATACTAAAGATAACAATGGTTCGTAACATAAAACCAAAAGTTGCAATAATTTGTCAAATAATCCAAATGTTGAAACAGTTCAATTAAATAGTTACAATCTCATTTAAATACATTTTAGTAATTAAAAATTAAGAATTAAAATAATAATTTATGAAAAGTTACACCGAGAGACGCGGCGGTAGATAATTAAATGTTATAGCTATTTATAAAATAAACCAAAAATTGCAATTGTTCGTGAAATAAACTAAATATATAAACCAAAGGTTGCAATTGTTCGTAAAATAAACTAAATATTGCAATGATTCGAATAAGCGGTTTCAACTGTTTATGAAGAGTTACAATAAAAAACGCAACCGTAGAAAACATTCAAAATGCAATTTATAAAAAAAAAAACATAACCGTAAAATATATATTTTAATTAATAAAAACATTAACGAAAAGTTGTGATAAAAAGACGCAACCGTTCAGATGTGCAAATGGTATTTATTAGATTGCTATTATATATAGATTATTACTAGGACTCCGGACCCCCGCGATGTCGCGGAGGAAAATATTTCAAAAATCGTTTAAAAAAATATCAAACAAAAATTAATAATAACGATGGTAGATGATTAAATGTTATAACGATTTATAAAATAAACTTAAAGTTTCAATTTTTCGTGAAATAAACTAAATGTTGCAATGGTTCAACTAAACGGTTGCAACCATTTTATGAAAAGTTACGATAAAAAGATGCAACCGTAAAAATTATTTACTCGAATTAAAATTTTCTTAAAACACATACCGTAAAATAATTTTTTTAGTTTAAAAAAAATAAATGAAATGTTGCGATATATCAAAAGTTGCAACGGTCCGTCAAGTTTGTCAAATAAACTAAAGATTACAACGATTCGTAAAATAAAACCAAAAGTTGCAATGATTTGTCAGATAGACCAAATGTTTCAACGGTTCAATTAAACGATTACAATCTCATTTAAATAAATTTTAGTAATTAAAAATATTAATTTATGAAAAGTTATACCGAGAGACTCGACGGTAGATAATTAGATGTTATAGCAATTTATAAAATAAATCAAAGGTTGCAATTGTTCGTGAAATAAACTAAATATATAAATCAAAGGTTGCAATCGTTCGTGAAATAAACTAAATATATAAATCAAAGCTTGCAATTGTCTACCAAAAATAACTATTATGTAAATAACATGACCGTACAAAAATAACTGTAAGAAAAACAACTATAAATATTTAAACGAGAGGTTGCAATAAAAAGATGCAACCGTTCAGATATGTAAATGGTATTTATTGGAAAATACGTAACCGTAAAAAAATAACCGATTTAAACGAAAGGTTGCGATTAAAAGATGCAACCGTTCAGATGTGCAAATGGTATTTATTAGATTGCTATTATATATAGATTATTATTATTATTATTATTATTATTATTATTATTACTAGGACTCAGGACCCCGCGATGTCGCGGAGGAATATATTTCAAAAATCATTTAAAAAAATATCAAATGAAAAAATCATAATGAATTGTAATAATTTTGATTTTTTTAATAACAAATCAATATATATTTTACAAAAATTATGATAAAGAAAACCCTCACAAGCATTTATTAAATATATTAATATTAGAAAAACAATAATTTGTAACTAAAAAACTATTCTCAAGTGCAAAAAGCATAAACTAATAAACCAAATATTACAATGATTTGATAAATAAGCAAAAACGTTCAAAGTCAAATAAACCAAATGCTATTGTGTTAAATTAAACGGTAACAACAATTCATTTAAATATATTTTAGTATTTAAATATTTTTTAAAAATATGACGAACTTATCCGAGAAACGCAACCGTAGATATCAAATATTCCAAAAACTGAAACGGTTCGTCA